CAGTGCGGTTTTGGAGAAGTATTTTCTGCCCGGAAGTTCGTACCTGGAGTCAAGCACTTTAATTAATTTCTTGAAACCGTCGCGCTCCACTGTGTTTAGGGCCATCATGTCTTTCACCAGAAAGAATGAAACGGCTCTCGTTATATCCTTGCTCCTTTTGGAACTCACTTCATAAGGAGTAATGGCCACAAAGGACGACGCGATCGATTTCTGCTTTGGTACAGCCCCGCTGCTAGCTCTACTTGTTGATGGAGTGACGTTAGCATCAGCCCACATTTTCATGCTTTCAGTGTGTTCACTGGGATGACACTTTTTTAGGTGATGGAATAGGTTGGTTGTGTTACCAGTTTTGGTTTTGACCGGGCTACGACATATTTTACAGATCGTTTGAATCTGCGCCTCGTCGCTCTTCAAAAAGCCAAACCACTTCCATATAACCGAATTTGTGCGACCTTGTTTGTCGACAATTTCATCATTTTTCACTACTTGCTCGATGTTTGTCTCACTTTCGCCACTGCTTGTCTCCAGCTTGTTTTGCAAAGTGCCATAAGAAATTAGCTAACTTTGTTCTCTGACGTGCACATTTAAAGCTGCATGTTGATTGGCTGTTGTCGCATATTGCTGCTGTGTGATTGGCTCTTACAAATCCATATCGAGTAAAAAATACCGAGCGCTTATCATCGTTATTGATATCGATTTTATTGCGATTCGATATTATATCGTTTATCGGCACAGCACTACCTACACCCCACGTAAACATACGAACTGAAGATGAATGTACTTTTAACAACTAAAACACAGCCGCAAATCTTTGATCCGTGTTTCATAACAATTTAACTGTAACCATGAAATTAACACAACGCAGCCTCATGTACGGGAGTCGAGGAGTGATACATGGGACCGTGTGATAGAAATTGGTCTCTATCCATCAGATGAGCCAAAAACAAAAGTTACTGGTTCTACAATTACACAGCACAGAACAGAGAAGCTAATCTGGAAACAGGTCAGCGTGTGTACATCCACACGTTTTATACAAGTGGAAACGTACTGAAATGCGGATGAATTATTATCACAGGATGTGTCAGAGATGATGTTGTAATGAACTGCTGGAGCTGAAACAGCCTGGACAAGATTCCTACCACACCCACAGCAACAGGTTCAAGAAAAACTGAGCAAACATGTCACAAATGCCACAACCGAGGGCGCACCCTCTTCACCAGGAGAAAGGATTCATCCAGATCATCAGCACTGAGTCTACTGAGGAGGTCTGAGCTGCAGTGCTGCCAATCTGTTTTCCCCGATAGAAACACTCTAAATAATTCAGTGCGGTGTTACCTGAGCCATATCCTGCAGGTAGGGCGCAAAGTGTTCCCTGGTGATGCTGGGGAGGCAGAAGGAGGGCATCACCTCAGTCTCTGCAAAGTCCAGGCCCCATGTTTTGGTGAAAAAGTCAGACTCCCGTTTGGCAAGCCTCGGGTCATTCAGCGCTGCGGGGAGGTTGACCTTCGAGCTGTAAACTGTCCACCTGTCGTGCTCAGACACCACAGACGGGCCATCGCACAGGCCACGCCCCTCACCTGCTGGACCACATGGAAAAACTGAGTCAGGGGTTTCACGTCTTTTGTATGATTTTACAACAAACTGTGACACCTGTACCTGTCTCGCATAAAGTGAAGAGCTGAAATGATCAGTCCGTCCAAAGAAAATGAACTACAGCAATTACATTAACCTTTTAAGTCAAAGTCATTGACCTCAGAAAATATCTATCTCAGATTTAAACGTTTTCCATTCTTTGCTATGAATCACTGAACTAATTATCTCTTGGTTTTGGACTGTTTGTGGGACAACACTTTAAGATACTGTCTGGGAAACTGATGAGCATTTTTGGGTATTTTCTGATATTACAGACTAACTGATGGTTGTGATCATTTGGCTACATCCTTAAATTTGGCGTCCACATGTGTTAATATTCTGAAGACGACAGTTTTCCCCACCAGTGGGCTCCTTGGGGCAGACGTCGGGCAGGGACCGGACAGGCCGGCAGCGATGAGGGGAGGCATCCCGCTCCTTGTGGTAGATCCCATCTCGGCCTCCACTGCTGGGACGAGGCACTAGGGAGGAGCTGTGACTGGAGGCCATGGCATTGGGACACACCTCCCGGGAGGCTAGCTGGACACACACACAGAACTGGTATTAGACAGAGGTAAAAAGTTAAAGAGTGGGGCTGTCAGTGCATTTCAAGGAGTTTTTATTGTGATTTAATCAACACTGAAAGCTAATAATCTTTCAGACTGTGCCATTAAACAAACTGGTTTAGTTCTATCCACAGATTCATGGAGAAGTTTGGAGTTATTCTGTATTTTCCTTCTTGTCAACAAACCCCATGAAAAGACCTAAACCAGCAGGGAACATCTACCACCAACACGTCCTGTGTGTACCACCGCCTGACCCCCCAATGTCTTTCACACACACACAGTCCTACTGCTACTAATACTCACTAAAGGCCAAATGTGGATTCGTCCACTACTGAAAATAGCCCCCAACACGTACCGTTTCCTCCTGTTTGCTTGAGTCATTTTTAACATAAACTATACAGGTGAAAAGGTAGTTCAAACGTGTGTGAACACTGATGTACTGTTTTGCTAAACTCAAGTCTGTGATCAGTTCTTGAGGGACAGAAAGTGACACCTGTGCTGCTGCTGTTCAAACAGAACTGAAAACGGTTTTTGCTTATTCTGTTGCATGCTGCAGGTGCAGGGTGGTGGCACCGGCCAATTCAAAGCTCACCCACAGTTCAAACTCTCAAACACATCTTCACCAACGTACAGCTCCGTCCCCAACTCCTAACTTGAGCAACCAGGTGGGCTGCAGAGACATGAATGTAAAAATATAAAATCCCCCAAATCTGTTGGTTACAGTTTTGCAAAAGAAGAGATGCTGACTTCACATTAAAAACATCTCCATAAAACCAGAAGAAACATCTAAAGAAAAGGTACAAAACCTCAGACTTGATAGACTTCTGTGCTCGCATTCAACCTGGATGCTCGTTCCTATTTCCACATACACCGTTTTGGAAAGAGATGCTGCTGAGGGAAATGTTGAGCCACTTCCAGAAATGACAAGCTACACTTCAGACAAAGCATTTTCTCCACTGGTTCATCGTGTTCGGCCTGAAGTAAATGATTTTAACATTGTGAAAAATCATCAAATAAGCCCTAAATTTACAGATAAACGATAGTATATAAATCTTATTGAACAGATTGAGCTAAGTAAACTTCAGGGTTGTCCAACAGTCTGTTTAATATCAAAACAAGTCGTTTCATCCACAAATCTTAGTAGTGCCTATACAATACAAACGGTCACCTTTTAATATGAAGATATTTAGGTGGAAAGGTTCATTTTCAAACTCATTTGGTATCGTAAACGTTAAATCGCTGCCTACTAACAGGACATGTAGCTGTAACAGAAGCTAGCCAGCTAGCTTTAGCTCCGGTGCGTTCATTCCTATTATTAAATGGTGATACCACACGCACACAAAACCATTTACTTTTAAAAGAGATGATAAAAGCACAGAATAACCGCGGCCGATGACAAAAGCCAAAGCTAATGTTGTCAGCTAGCCCAGTGGCGGTTACACGTAGACTCACTAATGCTAGCAGGCTAGCCAGACAGCTAGCTGACACTCTGACAGGCGGGATGTGACAAACCCGGCAGGTTCACTGTTCTCCTCTTTACCATTACAAGAATAGTGGAAGAATCGGGAGAAAAACAACGGCAGCAGTTAGCACCGGTACCACAACCATCATGCACCGCGGATGAAGGAGCTGCGGTGGTTTCGTGGTGATTCTTTTCTCCATTCAGGCCACAAAGCTCACTACTGCCACCTGTTGAGCACAGCTGTCACTGCTCTGTAACACCACACTATCCACTGACTGCTGGCCAAGGCTGCAGGCAGCTGCCCAGGGGCCCCAAACCCATGGGCAGAATGAGAAAATGGGCCCCCTGGGCACCATATTTTGTCTTTGTTGTGAATTTATGTCTCATTATGGTTGCTTGTCTCTTAGTGGTCATTTAGTTGCTAGGTTTGCATCTCATTTTGTTCATTTGTCTCTTTGTGGTCCTTTGCGTTGTTTCTTTGTCTGTTTTAGGTCATTGTGTGTCACCTTTTGCCATTTGTTTCAATTTCTGGTCATCTGTGTCCCTTTTAAGTGTTTTGTTTCTCTTTTAGGTTTGTGTGTATTAAGTTTTTCTGTCTTCTATGTCATTTTGTCTCTTTTTATCTGATTTGTCTCTCTGTTTGGCCTTCACTGCAGTCGCTTTCAGCTCTTGCTTCTTGTGGGGTCTGCATGTGTCTTCTATTGAACCAGTGCTGGAGCTGGTCTGCAGCGATTTGACGTTTACGATACCAAATGAGTCAACATAAAGAAAGCAGCCATGCAAATATCAGCAGTTTTATTGTTTACAGTTGGTACAAAAATGGTCATTGTGCAGTGCGACTGCATAGCTCTCAGGTCATAAACATAAATAACAATCTCAAGATGATATGCTGAATAAACACCTTCAGTCCCAAACAGAGAATATTAGCCGGGTTGAGGGAACTGGTCAGCATCTCTTTCAAAATGTTCAGCTCTACATTTAGACTCTTGCAAATTTCAGTGGTTTGACTTAAGAACAGTTCACCCCAAATTTCACTTGGTAGCTTGAGTTTGTCTCCTTTGCCTCATGTCAGCCTCTTGAACCTTACCAGAAAAAGAACTGAAAAGGTTAAAGAATGTACACAAGTTAATCAAAACCAAAATAGTTCATTCTCTAGGAATCAGGAATGTGATCTGGAAGAGTTGAAGGAAACTGCCAGATAAATAAATGTCTATTTGTTTCTCAGTGGCACTAGACGAAAAGTCAAAGTCAGGAATTTCATCAGAGATCCTCCTTTTCAGCTCAGGGGCATCCATCCCGAAACTTCACAGCTATCTTGTATTTTAGTATCAGAATATATTTTAATTGTTGTATTTTGCCTTTTTTAGATGATGTATGTAAACATTTTGTGTGTGTACATGTTAACTTGGGGTGAAATATTTCTTTTCACATATTGTTTAACAGAACAGTGTTTAAACAGTGTTTACTCTGGACGTCACCGCTGAGTAAGGCAGGTTAGGGTCTCTGGAATACTTTTCATTTGTTGAAAGGAAAACTACAAAATTCATTCTAGATGTGTTTCAAGTCACACGACAGCAGCTTCCAAGTTCCCCAGACAAACTTTAGTCATGTTATGATACAAAGGCTATATTAAGATCAATAAAATTATTTTTGTGTTCAAAGACAAATGTCACTTGATTTCAGAGAAAAGGATCAAATACAGAGAGATGTTACACATCTGCAAAAGCAGTTCCAGGTTGAACTGTGTGTCACAGTTTTATTATTATCACACTGGAAAAACCTCCAGATCAACTTTTGGCCCAAAATGAGACACAACTCGACCGCAACTCATGCTCATGTCTTAGTGTTAGTGGCTCTTTAAGGCACAGTGAGACAGTAACAAGCTACAGATAACCTTTGGAAAACATGGCTGCTGGTAAATTCTGCATTGATAGGCCAAAAAGACTTAGGAGGTAAAAGAATAAATAAGAAAGAGTAAAGCAAATCAAACATCGCTGTTTTTCCAGACAGCCGTACTCACACTGTCTGAATCTTGTCTGATGTTCAAAAAGGAGCCGACACCAAACCATTAAACACACTGGTTAAATTAAGTTAAATTAAGTGAGAAAAAAGTTTGGAAACCCCCCACAAAGCAGTTCTGCCCACATTAGGGTTGCAACGGTATGAGATTTTCACGCTATGATAAGAAAATGTCACGGTTTCACAGTATTACACAACTACTACCATCATCAGCTACGACGACACTCAAAAGACCAGGAAAAGGGTCTTTTTACTACAGGTGGCTCTTACAGTTGACTGAGCACGACTGCAGAAACTGGCTCTAAGAAACAAACAGAGCTGGAAACATGATTTTAAAAAACAGCATATAACATGTCATACAACTAGAGCATGTTAGTTTGCATGTGAGCACCAGCAGTAGAGGAAGTATTCACGTCCTTTACTTAAGTAAAACCCACTCTGTTACAAGTCCCGCACTGAAAATGTTAAGTAAAATTAGGTATTAACACTAAAATGTACTTCAAAGTATTAGAAGGCTACTCGGTGCAGAACAATCTTACACTACCTATCCTATACTGTTATCCTATTATATCATCACATTACCAGCCTGTAGCTCATGCACTGACGTAACAGCAGGACGTGGCTGTTGTAGCTGGTCGAGCTGCAGCTGAACTAGTTTGGATCCAAGTGCAGCTACTGATCATTTTCATTAGGGATCAACCTGCTGATTATTTTCTCCACTAACCGATTGGCTGGTTTTTAAACATCATACTGCTCTAAACAATCACCAGAACAGCTGGTAATTTACTGTAGGTGCACAACAGCAGCCAAACCTGTCTGCACCTTCACCCACACACACACACACACACACACACACACTCATGAGAGCCGGGAAAGTTTGTGTGTGTGTTTCTGGGGTCACATCGAGATCTGTGCGAGTCCTGGTGTAGGTCAGAGATCAGTGAACGAACACACGGGACACATGCTTTGACCTGTACAGAGGGACAGTGTTCGTTTCTGAGATATCCAAACTCATCCTGCGCTGCTGGTTTATAATTCTCTTCGCTGGATGGAGTTTGGTGATCTCAACTTCCTTCTTTCTACCATTTGTCTGCTGCATGTGTGCGCGTGTGTGGCGCCCATTGTGGAGTCTGAAGGGGAGTCGGGGAAGAAAGGTGCAATAAGCAAAGTGCACGGTAAGATAACCATCAATTTTCATACCAGGGAATACTGTGAAACCGGGATACCGCTGCAACCCTAGTCCACATGTCCTTGGATTAAGGCACAGAGGTTTTCAGTCCAGCGGGCTTTGGAAGATGAGTCTGACGCAGCCGGACTCTTCACTCAGCAGCTGGATGCAGAATGGGCAGGCGGCGTGGAGGGTGTGCGTGCCGTGTGGCAGCAGTATCTCTCTCCAGTACGCAGCGGTCTTCTCTGAGCAGACGTGACCACAGGGGACGAAGGCGTGGGTGGGGGGCTCTGCGTCCACGTAGAAGGCTGCCTCGCAGCCCAGCCACAGCGGAACATAGGGGCCTCGTGCCCGGCACATGGGGCACTCTCTCTCCTGGCACGTTGCCTCCACCTCAGGGTCACGGCGTCCCCCCCATACATGGTAGCCATGCACATGGCCGCAGCGCAGGTAGGCCCAGGGCTGCTTCTCATCCAGGACGTCCTTACGGCGCAGGCTGGGGAAGGCCAGTGTGTTGAAGCCCACAGGACACTGTGGCCGCCCGGCATTCAGCTCCTGCCGCAGCGCCTCCAGGGGTGGGCGTGTGTGCCAGGCCCTCGGCTGTCCGCCACAGCAGCGTGGCACCGCACAGGTCGATGAGCGAGCCATCTACCAGCTCGTTAGACTCAGAGTCCACCTGAAGAAGATGAGTGAACAAATACAGGTCAGTCACACCACCACACTGACCTGCATTTTTGAATTGGCACAGTAAAAGACGACATTTTACTGGACTGCATTATATTCAGAGGTGTTCCTAATATTCTGACCCTCTCATGTATGTAGCCAGTGAGGACAAAAATATAGACACGTCTGAATATAATATAATCCAGCACAACACCACCTTTAACCATGACCTCAATAATAAACAAATGAGTTTATACTTTTATGACAATTTCAGCAAAAACTGAAACATGCTGATGTTCATAAACAGATGAAGTACAGTTGTACAGGTGTCCCTAATAAAGTGGCCGGTGAGTGTACATGGGCTGTGGGCCTAAACACTTTGACTCACTTTCCTCACCAGCTCTTCCCCAATCCACTCACTTGTGGTCAAAAACAAGAGTGTAAAAGCCAGATAACAGAGTGCGAAGGCATGTAAACACTGTAACCTATCACCCAGGACACACCTTGTAGCTTAATGACGGGAGTTTCCTGACACTCCGCACCTAAAGAGGAAGACGGTGATAAATCGTATCTGACATCTCGAGGCCGACCTGCTGCTGCTTCCCCTCAAGCTTCTTTTTGCAACAAGTTGACTTTTTCTCCACCAAGAACACTTAGAGTCAAAGTGCTGACATTACTTCCTGCAGCTGCTATAACTCAACAAACCTCTCATGCATCATTTTTATCAGTGTTTCTGCAGAAGCATTACCACCTATTACACAGCATCATAACTGTTTCTAACCAGTCTTTATAAAGGTGAGAAGATGTGCCATGATCACACTCAACAGGCCTCAGTCTGTCCAGCTGATCACATTTAACCTGATTTTAATTTACCGCCTCTGTCTGGACAAACGATGTAAAGTCCATGGCATATTGCTGTAGGACCAGATATACAGAAGGCCCCGATATCAGGGATCTACGTATTACTAAAATAAAAAAGGACAAACCAAGGACAAAAACCACTGGAAATGGTAATGTCTGGGTTTTGGGAAAACTATATGGCCACAACAACCAACAATTATGGTTTCACAGCAAAGATCAATCACTGCTTTCTCATTAAATGCTTTGATCACGAAGCGTCTGCAGAAGGTGTCATAGTATTAGCAGGAGTGTTACACAAATGCAGTAAAGCAGAAAACTGTATTTAAGGCAGAGCAGTCATGTTTGATTCCTGTTCCATCAAGTTGAATCTGTGCATCACTCATTTTTAGGGGTCATGTGATTTAATACAATAATCCTGTGATATGAACTGGCTTTGTAAAGTGTACACACTTCATGTGCTTGTTGAGGACATGCCAGAAACTTGCTGAATTACCTGTTGTCAAAGGAAACCAGACTGTGCACCACTGTGTGGTTGAACCATTGACGTTATATGATGCTTCAGTCAGCAGTTGTAACTCTACACACACATCACTACTAAAAACCACAGAATTTCCTTTACATGAATAAAACTGCATCTGAAGTTCAGTGGTTTCCACGGGTTAACCAGCTACATGTAACATGAACATCAGTCACACCGAAACCCAACAGGAACACTGGTTCATTAGTTCATTGTTTGGCCCTGATCAGAAGGAAGGCAGTGAAGGCAGGTTGGGGGCATCCATGCACTGGCCCATTTAGATCGACTGTGACATGGACTGCTACATTATACAGTGATAGGTCGCATCACTGGTGGGGACGAAGCAGCCTACTGGAGGGAGGTGGCTGGTCTGGTGTCATGGTGCAAGGACAATAATCTCAGCCTCAACATGGACAAGACGAAGGAGATGATAGTGGACATGAGGAAGGAGAGGAGAACTCATGGGCCACTGTTCATCCGGGGGCTCGAGGTGGAGAAGGTGAGCAGCTTCAAATACCTGGGTGTCCACATCAGTGGGGACCTCACTTGGACACTTAACACCACACAGCTGGTCAAGAAG